TAGAACTGGACCCAGTACTGAGCACCGCAGTACCATGCGGTGGTGTGCATCACTGCCCGTCCCTTGGGCTGCTGTTCAGGCTGCGGGGCGCTGACTTTTTTTAGTTTTGTGCTCCCTCCTTTTTCTGAACCTTTGCTGAAAAAGCAGAGCACTTAGAAATACTGGGGGTGTGTGTGTTTTATTTTTTTTTAATTAAACCTTTGTGTATTCTTATTCCCATTACCTGCAAGGTGTTTTTGTATGTGGGATGAGGGCATTCTACTTTCTCACCACTTGAAATGGTGGTAAAACTGATAGCAGCTACCCTTCCAGGAGAACAGGTAAGAAGCGAAGAATTCAGGTGGGCTGGGATGTTTCAGGGGCTGGCTGAGTTTCAGTGTTGCTGCTGGGAAAGCAGTCTCTATTTGATCTTGGCTCCTCTGAGACCTGACAGATTTGTAGGCAGTAGCCTTTAGCTGTTGCTTTGATTGTGAATGCAGCGTGCTGGAACAGGGTTTTGTTCTCAAAACGGAGAGAAAAGGAGCAAGGATAAAGAGTGTGTGTAAGGAGGCAGGGGGAAAAACCAAGGCCAAGTTTAATTCCCACCAGCAGGAAGGATACAGTTGAAAACTTCAGCTCCTAGCAAAGTTTAAAAATAAATAAAAATATTTAGGCCATGTTAGCCTGGGGGTGAAATAGTGGGACTTTGCAGATGCAGCTCCATCCAGTCTCTGATAACATACGGTAGTTTTAAAGACCCTACAACACTGGAATGCAAATCTCAAGGCAGTGGGGGTAGCTGCGGGGTTTACTTTGAGCATTCCTGTTAAGGTAAACTGGCTCAACGTAGAGGCAGTCTTGGAGCTGCTGCACCCTGTCCTCCAACTTGAAAGCCCTATGGAGATGGATGGGTGGATTACTGTGCAAACTCAAGCTCTGACTTGGAAAGGTGCTGGGGAAATCTGTCCCTTCATGCCAACTGGAATATGGCACCTTGGGTTTCCCTTGTTGCTTTCATAGGGCACTTGGACTCTTTAAACTCTCTCAGCCCCAACATAGACATGGTGGGAAAAAATTTTATTCTGAAAAAGTCTCTTGCTACTGTTACTTGTTCCTCCTATTCCTATGCAGGGTTTTTGTCTCCACTTTGCTATCTGTTTCCTCCAAAGGGAATGACTTGAATTCATATAAAACACCCTGTTGTGTAGACGGCTGAATTATCTCCAGCCTGTATCTCCACCAGCATTCCTACTGAACAAGAGATGGCATATGCTGGGGCTGGTCTGGAGCCACATGTTTCTGATTTGTTTGGCAGGCTCAGGCTATATGTGTTAGTGAGTTTTTTTTCCAGCATTTTTTTCTGTTGGGAACTAATTTCGGAGTGGTGGTGGGTTTTTTTTTCTCTCTGCGTTCAGTTGCTGAGTTTCATTAAACTTTTTAAAATGTAAAAGCTATGAGAAAACTGCTCTCAAATTAAGCTGATGTTGGCCCATACACTCAGAAGTTTGGTGGACTCAACGATATTTGAAAAAATACTGTTGCTCTGATGGATCTTGGCAGCCTTGGGATGGAGGTGAAGAGAGAGGGGTAAGGCTTAGTGCTCAGTTTTTGTTCTTTCATGGTTTAGTTCCTGCCTGGAAGGTGGAAGTGGCAGAGTCCAGCCGGAAACGCTGAAGTCATCTGCTAGAACTTGTGATGCTGCTCTACGACTTGAGTCACGGCTTTGCTCACACCTTCAGTCAGCACAGCACTGCAATTGTGTGACAGCATCAAGGGGTTTTCGGGGGAAATCCTACTGGCAGAAAAAAAAAGTCTAGAAATTTGGATGCTAAAAGCAATAAAAAGGCAACCTCGCTGTTGTGATTGCTGCAAACCAGATTTAAAGGGGTTGGGGCAATCCATCTCCAGAGTTTTTGGGGACTTGTGTGGTTTTGTAGCTCCTCAAGCTGCCTAAATACTCACGTTTTTGCTTGCAGCTGCATTCCACTTATAATACTGTTTTATTAAGATATTTACCTTTTACTTGTCATAGTCACTGTGAATAGTTCATAGTTCTGTTTTGTGTAGTTACTGAAAAACTGTCGGTGTGGTGTTTTGTTTTGTGGGGTTTTTTTGGTTTTTTTACTTGGAATTGGCCAGTTGCTTTGAGACCAACAATTAAAATGCCTGTAAAAATGGCTTTGAATTGGAGCAACTGTTGATGCTGAGCGACTGTGAAAGCACACAAGTTGAAACGTTTCTCGTAATGTTCTTAGCTTCTTGAAAAATGATTACATAATTCCAGGAAATGAAATGAGGCATTTCACCCTGAAAATAACTGAGTTTAAATAGTGGAAAACAAAGAGTTGGGGAAATAACATGAGGATGAAAAGTTGGGAGGGGAAAGGAACATATACAGAAAAGACAGATGATTTTTTTTTTTTTTTTTTGGTCATACTCTATTATTTTTTAGGAGATATTCACCCTGGTCAACCGAATGGGTATTAACCTATTTAAGCCCTAATTCTGTAGGCACAGGACACGACCTTACTAAGTAATTCTGGAAGTTCTTAACTTTCCCCTCTTGGGTTTTTTTTCATTGTACCTTAAAACTTTTAAGTATTGGGTGTCGACAAAGACATTTGATCCAGTATCTCACCTGGCAAGAGCATAACCTTAGGGCACACGTCCGTGACCAGGAGTTTTACCTGGTTGCTGGTGGTCAGTGCTACAGTCTTGGGTGAAGCTGAAGCCAGGATCATGGTGTTAACAGTTGCTGATGGGCATGTGCTCAATTGTGTCCTCAGCTGCAACACGGTTTGGGGGAATGGATGAAAATCCTGTGTGTGAAAGCTACTCACCTACAGGTGAGCGTCCTGGCAGGTCACAGTGTTAGTAACTTCATTTACTTGCACGTTGAGATGCTGTTTGTTCTTGCGGCAGGCTGTGTGCTGGCATAATGGTTATTTCAAAACCCTGTGAATTGGGGAATTTAGAACCTGCATACCGCTGGTTACCAAACATGTTTCCCTCACTTTTCAGCTGTTACAACTGTTGGAACAGGATCAGGGAAACTAGTTTTTATGGCTTGAAGTTTTGTTAAAAGCTTTGTTGAAGGAAACAAAGTACTGGAAGGGACTGGGGAAGGACATCTTGCCCAATCCTTTGCCTCCAGGTATTATCACCTAAGCCTAAATCTTTACCAGGTGTCAGAGCTGCTAAGAGCTTTCAGCAAGGGGCATGTGGTAAAGGTAGTCCCTAATCTGTCACTGTAAATGTGTGAGGCTGACAAAAAAAAGATTCTTCCATTATGTTTCTTCAATAGTTCCATCAAATACTTTTGCTAAACCTTAGTAGGCTTTTAGTATGCTCGTAGGTGGTTTTAGTACCTCCAACATTCAGTGAGACTGTTAATGATTTGTTTAATAATTGATCGGTAGCTTTGGGACCATTCAAACTTTTGTGAGAGATGACAGACAGATGAGTAGAATTATATTTAGTTGCTTAGTTTAGTCATTCCTTTCTGAATTTTGTAAGTGAGGAGCAGCATGAAGGAATGGAGCTACTGAGGGAACTTCTTCTAGAAAATTACTCCCCTTAGCAGAAAACTGGAGAGAGTGTTAACCTATTAATTCAATACTTAAGTGTCTGCAAAGTGTTTTCTGAGCAGTAACAGTCATTACCTTTTGTAATTGTATGGACCTTATATTTACATCTATTTCCTCGTTAGCAAATAGGTTGTTTCTCGGCTTGTTTCCCTCTGTCCTGAAGCCTTTACTACCTCATTCCTGTTGTACACCTTAATCATTCCAAGTGTTAGTCTTAAAGCTTGAGCAACCATCATCAGTGCCACAAAGATTTTTGTATGCGGAGCCTTGGAGGCTCTGAAAGGATCCCTGTATCCCTTCTTATGACTCTCTGCTGTGGGAACTGTCTTTGCTCATCAAGGAAAACTGTTCCTCACTGTTTCTTTCCCAGTTGGGACTGTTGTGTTAGGGTGACGTCCCTGTGCTGGCCTAGTGAAAAGGCAGCCTTGTCCCTGTGCTGGTCTCTGAAGTAGGTGCTGGCCTAGTGAAAAGGCAGCCTGGAGATGTAAACCTGGAACATCGTAACAAGTAAATAATTCAGTCCTAGTCAGATACAGCAGAATACAGGGGTTGTTCTCTTCTGGTCCTGCTTTAAATACTGAAGTACTATTTAGTCTTTTTTATATCCATATTGATAGAGAATCAGAATCTTTCCTTTGACAGGTAGTAAGAAATACTCTTTAATGAGGAGAAGCAGGTTGGAAGTGCTGGCTCTGTCACAGTTTATATAAAACTCTTAGGCTCTTCGTGATATAGCTAAAACTCTACTTAACTGTAATGATATCCCTTCCTCTGAAATCCTGGCTCTTTTTACTGGGAATCAGTTGCATTGCTCACTTGCTTTAAAAACAAATAAACCGAAGAACACTAAACCCCAAGTCTTTGCTGGGGTATGAGTACCTATGAGGGTTAGGCACATAGTATAATTTCAGACAGTAAACCGTATGTTGGGAGTCATAAACTATGAAAATGGTAGGTATTGGGTGCTTGTAAACTAGAAGCAACCAAGTGCAGCTTGGGGTTTTCCATTAAAAACAAACGAAAAAATCCTATTGTCTGTGTTTACCCAGCCTTGTAATAAAATTTTACGATACACTGCTTTTCCTGATCATGGTAAAGGTGTTTATATAGCGAAATGAATTTGATTATAATATTTATGTGGGAGCTGTGTATAATAGACATATTTTTTTTTTTTATTCAACAGGCAATCAGCTGTAAAGGTCAGCACAGTATCTCTTACACATTATCCAGAAACCAGACTGTTGTAGTGGAGTATACTCATGATAAAGATACCGACATGTTTCAGGTAAGATTCTATGCAATACAGGCATTGGTTTTTAAGAGCGGTATATGGAACCACAGGTCTGCATTATACTCTTCTGTATTACTCTCACAGTAATATATACTTTCACGGGGTATTTTCTGTGATCTGTGGAATTTTCATGATTGAACCTAGTTGTATTAATATGGGACCACTTCGGAGTTTTGCATCATCTGCTCTTCAGACCAGCGCCAGCATCTGGTAGGATCCTTAACTGCCTTCACTGTACTCTGCTTTTCCTGCAAGGACAGCGTAGCAACTGCACAAATAGTACCAGAAAGAAATATGTGCTCTGTTTGGATTCATGAATAAGCACAAGAATACACCCCACACCCTCCAGTTAATCAAGTAGCTGGAGTAAAAAGAAGTGGAGAGGAGTAGGACGTGGCATGGGGAAGGAGGAAGGTGAAAGCGAAGGGAGGGAGGGGAGTGTGGGAGCTGTGCACTAAAGGAGGCAAACTGGTGATAAATGATAAAGAAAACTGGAGGGTGTGCAAGTATGTCAGGTGGTGTAGGGGACTGTGCTGAGTTTCTCAGCTGCTGCCCTCTATCCAACATGTTTTCACTCTCCCATGTATGCATTTGTCTTTTTCTGCATCATCTAACATGCTGGTAACCTATTTTATTTTCTTGTGCAAAGTTTATTTTTATATATATATAATAGGCAGAGATTATGTACATACTTAAGACTTCAGGCTTGGAAAAAAAACCCAAACATGCACAACCTTTTCAAATTCAGACTAATCTGGTCTGTCTTCTCAGTGACCTCTGTAATTAGAGCATCTTATTGTGAATTGTTATCCCTCCTCATTCAGCCTTTCATATTTGGAAGGGTCAGCACTTGAGTGTTGGTGACAGAAGAGGCAATAGCTCTGTCAAGATGTCTTTGCTTCACATGGCTTCTGGGTTTTTTTGCTCTGTATAAAATTTTCCCAGTGTGACTTTAGAGTCGTTAGGTCCAAATAGGGATTGATTAAAAGAAGTCTTGTTTGTTTGCTGCTGCACGAAGGATCACGCAGCCAGAGTGAACTGAAACAGGTTTTTCTGTGGTGACTAGTAACAGAGAAATGTAACTCATCCTCCTGGGTTACTGTGGGATACTTCTTTATCCCTGCAAGATGGTTTTGTGCCTTGAGTAGCTCCAGTGAAACTCTTCCCTGTATGTAGATTTTGAAAAGCTATTTTTGAAAGCTGGAATTTTTCCACTTGTGTATATTAAAAATGAATAAAGAGCTGCAGAACAGCTTACTGCCGCTTCGCAAGCACTGCTCGTGCTTTCTCTCTCCAGCAGCTCATGGTACCTGGTGAAATGTCACAAAAACTCTAATCTTGTTTACTACATCACCTCTGAGAGGCTGCTTATGGTTCAGGCAATTATCTGCCATATGTTTATAGTTATGTGACTGGTTTGGCTTGTAAGAGGTCAACTATTCCATCTTCATAACAGTAAAACTTTTTGAGCTGCATCTTGGGTTGGTGGTGTGTCTCAGTCTTCCTGGTGCCCCCTCAAATGGATAATGCGTCAGGGTTAAGACTTCTATATTGTTAAAATGCCTCTTTTCAGTGCAGTCTTTCTTCTGTCTTGATGTGTAGACTGTCATGCTGTGATTTGATCTCAGCTTCACCTCAAGCATTGTGTCCTGGTTCATGGTTTCACATTCTGTAGCTGTCGGCTGAGGATTGTACTCCATGCATTGTCCCAGAGGGGCTGGTAGCCACGAGAATGGGAAAAGGAATAGTCTGGTAGATCGTGGCAATATTTTGCTGTTCAGGCAATGCAGACAGCAGTTGAAATTTCCATTATTTAGACAAGTCATTAGATTTTAATTATTCTCAGTAATCTGATTGTGGGCAGTCAGAGAAATTACTTGAGGACTGTTTTGTGCAGCCCTGTGGTACGTGATGACAGATTACGTGCTGTCTGTTGATGCATGGAGTAGAGCCTTACTCTTGATCAAGCATCACTTGGGTAGACAGTCCTTGCTCTTTTCTTTTCAAATGTGGCTTTTGTCTTACACTGACAAGGATGTGGAATTTGAAAGATGAAAGATAATGCCTGGACTACAGGATTGTCTTGAGGCTTGAGGCACCTCCTTGGCTATTGATAAACATGTATTATCTTGGGCACCTAATCTTTTTTTTTTCTTTTTATCTCAATTTTCCCCTCTATAAAATGGGATAGGAAGCACCACGTGACTTCATTAAGGTAGGTGTAGCAAGGAATGTGAGAAGCTTAGAATGGCAGTTGTTGCTAACACCTTAGTGGGACCCAAAACAGGGAAAAGGGATGGCAGGGGTCTTTTGTTTTCTTGGTCAGGGTACTGTTTCTAACCTGTGAGGACTAAATGCATTGGGTTAGAGCCTATTTCCTGTGCAAGTGAGGGAAATTCACAGTTTGCAAAAAAAGCTGTCACCTTTTTCCTCCACTTTGAGAGTCTGTAGTCAGTCTTTCTCTTGGAAGGAGAACAAGAGGAGTGTTGTGTTGGTGACTTGTACTCTGCAGTTCTTCCAGAAACAAACAGGAAAATTGAGGATTGCAAACCCGGAATAACAACCTTCTTTTGCTTCCCAAGCTCCTAACCAAGAAGCAGCATGAGCAGATGCTTATCTGAAGCGAGGGACATAAGAAAATGTGGGGAGACTTTATGAGGGCCAGTAAGGAAATTCAGAAGGCATTGAAAAGCAGCGTTCAGGCTGCCTAAATACCAATTTTTATGACATTTTCAGTAATAAAATGAAAATGGCCACATTTTCATGCACATAACTTAGCAGTTAATAAGTGGTTTAAGTCGCCATGCACGTGCTCTGCCCGCGCCCCATGCAGACACATCATTTGTTAACCATGCAAGTTATAGGCATATTCAGTGGATGCGTGATGAAGTTTCGTACAGGAGTAGTCCTACAACCGTTCTTCCACTAGCTTTTCGGAAGATAACATGAAGAGTAATTAACAAATGAGCGTGGTCTTTTAAGAGTGTTTTCATGCATGATTTCAAGCACTAACCAGGAAAGTTCTTCCTTCTTGAAAGTTGGAAACAATGCAGAAATGGGTGCTCTTGTCTTCCCTGCTTGTATCCAACTTAGTCACTTCCCAGACATCTGCTGGATCACTTTAACAATACGGCTTCACAACCTGCTGCTGTAGGGCTTGGAACCTTTTGGGTATTCAGCTGCTTTGGAAGATTATCCTGGACATCTTCTATCATTCCTTTCTTTGGTCCTGTACTTGGTTTTGGGAATAGGCTTTTTTCTTTTCCTTTTTTTTTTTTTCCCCCCCCTCACTGTTCTGCTGTGTCCCGTGTGTTTTGTTTTCTTTTTCCTTAATCTAATTCTGTAGTGAAACTTGTGTACAAATGCTACTGTGCAGCTTTGTCTTAGTGACATACAGAAGCTATTTCTTCACGTAATAACCAGGTAATGTGCTAACGTGTTCCATCTGGCATCTCCCAGAGTCTATATGCTACAGCATCTGTAGGCTGCTAAAAATGAACATTTTCTTTAGAGTTTACTAACCATTCTGTTGATGATGTGTCAGTTGGAGCTGAATCTATTCCTTTGTGGTTTGATTGGATGGGAATGGGTTGATTATACCTGTCTGTACCACTACAAGGAGCCAAAATTTGTCGCCAGTACCCTAAATATCTGCAAGGTTATACAAGAAGCAGGTACATTCAGTATGAAAAATTATTTTTTTTTTTTTCCCTGAAGAACAGCCCTTCAGAAGATGCATGGTCCAGTTCTTCCCTATCATTAGAGTGAAATTCTGTTGAAGTCCAAGAATCTGTAGCTGTTAAATCTGCTGGCAGGTTGTCTGGTTTTGCCATTTCAGGAGTGAGCATTCTAATAGCACGTCTTTGACTGACGGCAGACACCAGCAGATTGACTGGCTGCCTGGCTTTTACACAGCTTTCAACAATAACCTGTAGTGCAGACAACAGGAGCTGTCTGATGCATCGGTTAGAAGATTTATGGTTTGTTGCTGGAAGTAACTTAGTGAAATAATATAGAATATGACACGGTTAACAAGAAGAGTTCCAAGATACAGCCTAAAATTATTAAGAATAAAGTACTCTGTGACATAGAGGAAAATGGAAGAAAAAGGAGTAACAGAGTCTGTAAAGAGTAGCTTTGAATAGTGAACCGAGTCGGTAGTGTCTGTAGCCTGACTGCAACATCAAGAAGCTAAAATTTGGGGTGGGTAAATGTTGCTAGCATCAAGTTCTTCATTTGTTCCTGAGGAGTTTTCTTTTGTGATGATCTCAAATGCAAAATTTTTGAATTGATTTAGAGCATGGGGGAATGGCTGTGTGTTAAAGGCCACTACTTGAAATAATTTCTAGTGCTGAAATGTAGCACAATCCATGGGACTGATCCTCTAGAATGCTTTTGTGAGAGAAAAATGCTTAAAATACTTGATGTTGTGTAGACATACATGTGACACATGCGATATATGTTGTAAGCCACAAAGTAATTACTTTATATTGCATGTAATTTCAAAGATTTCAAAAACTATGTGAAACTTTGTAATACAGATTTGAATGCCTATATCCAAACATACTCCCATTTCATGTTGACTGGTATGATGGGAGGAAGACTGGGAGCACACGCTTGTGTGTTTTCTCATTCTTCAAGGGAAGATAAGGCAGGTTTGTTTCTAATTGCATCTAAAAGCTTTGAGAGTGACCTGTTTGGGAGACTGAAACAGGCAGAACCTTGTTATGAACATATTTATTTCATGTTGCTTATTGATAATCCTTTAAGAGACTTCACATACAATACAGCATAGGCAGAAATTCTGAAGCAGCTTCCTGCTGCTGGTTGGTGCTGACTCCTAGCAGGAACTGCATTGGATGGGAAACGGATGCCTGTTAGCAATAATATTGTAAAAAGAAGAATATAGAATTACAGAGTCATTTGGGATGGAAGGGACCTTAAAGATCATCTAGTTCCAACCCCCCTGCCATGGGCAGGGACACCTTCCACTAGACCGGGTTGCTCCAAGCCTCATCCAGCCTGGCCTTGGGCACTTCCAGGGATGGGGCATCCACAGCTTCTCTGGGCAACCTGTCCCAGTGCCTCCCCACCCTCTCCGGGAAGAATTTCTTCCTGATATCTAATCTAAACCTCCCCATTTTCAATTAAAACCCGTTACCCCTTGTCCTGTCACTACAGACCCTTGTAAAAAGTCCCCCCCAGCTTCTTTGTAGGCCCCTTCAGGTACTGGAAGACTGCAATGAGGTCTCATGGTAGAGACCTTACATATAGCTTTAAGTTTTAGCTTCAATTTGTCAAGTTACATAACTCAAAATTGTCCCATATTTAACAGTTTCCGAACTCTTTCTCTTGGATATTCTAGTAGTCACTTTACTTTCAGTGAAAAACTGAAGTGCATACTTTTGATTAGACCTTTTCTAGTATTTCCTTGGTGCTTCCTGCACCGAGCTCACCACGTTTTCTACTCTGGTTGAGAGCCGTGGCGTGGAGTTAGTAACTAGATGTGTCACTCAAGACCTGAATTGTGGCATGTGTTTGGGTTTAACACAGCAAAGTAGAACTGAAAGCAGGAGAGATCCCGGTACTGTTGCTATAAGTTCAGTTATGACAAGGGGTAAGTAGTAATAATACCAATTTTCTTGATTCTTGAATAATCTTTCTTTACAGCAAGTTTAGTTTGCAGAGATGGAACCGTACATGTGTTCCAGTAGCTGTCTCTGAAGAGCAAGAAGCGAAGCAGAATGTAACTTCTTGAGAGACAAGGAGATCATGTTTAAGGAGGTTATTTTTATAAATGTAGATTTCTGATATTCATAGAATCATAGAATGGTTAGGGTTGGAAGGGGACCTTAAAGATCATCTAGTTCCAACCCATATTGAAAGTGGTTTCATGTGAGGAATATTCTTAACTTCCTTCTGTTTGATCACAAGGTGTCTATAAAATTAATATTCTGCTCCACGTTCCCAGTTATGCTCAAAGTTGGTGTAATTTGTCTGTAGAAGCTTTGCTAAAGTCACACTGTATGTTTGATTGACAGTCAGATCCTCTGTCCGTTTTCTAATGAAGTTTTCTGTTCTGAACACCAAGATGTTTCCAGTTTTAGAGTTAACACTCATAGATGCCAGCATAGAAAAATATTCTTGTCTGCTGATCAGCTGTGTTTTAATTCTGCTGAAGAAAGGTTTTTATAATTTCTGTAGTCATGCACATGTATGATTAGGAATAAATTTAATCATATGGTGGGTTTTACCTGAAAACTCTAATATTCTGGAACTACAAATTCTGAAAACATAAAGGTGGGTAGCTTTTTGTCATGATGTATCAAAAGAACAGAGTTCTGGGAGTAAAAAAGATCTCCTGTTTTCATGACAAATTAACTTGGAACTAGAAATGTGAATAAAACTTGTAATTTCAAGATAGCATTTTCTTAATTGACAGAATATAGTGGTAAGTAATTTGCTGTGTCTGGATTATGAATTAGCAAGGTGATAATACTTTCATGGTGTTGCCTGTATTCTAGCAAACAATTGCAGCTGTATTGGGCAAGCACGTACATCAGTCTTAGTAAGTGAAAATTTGTCACGGTGATGATGTCTTTCTGCCTAAGACAATTTTGAAAACACAGATTCGTCTCTGGTTGGATCTTGCCATCCAGGGATCTAGTAGGCGGCAGTGTACTGATGTCATCAACATGAACTTGGTGAGGTTATGTCCTTAATGCTTGATAGTTCTATGTCTCTTTCCAATTATACCATTATCTTATTTTTTTTTTGTGCAGGTTGGGAGGTCAACGGAAAGCCCCATAGACTTTGTAGTAACAGATACTATTTCTGGAAGTCAAAACAATGACGAAACCCAGATTACGCAAAGCACCATATCCCGTTTTGCGTGTAGGATTGTTTGTGACAGGAGCCCGCCATATACAGCGAGGATTTTTGCAGCTGGATTTGACTCGTCTAAAAATATATTTCTTGGTGTAAGTACCACTAATAACTTATGTACGAGCAAACTCTGGGTTTTATTCTCTGTTATTTTCAAGCCCCAAAATTTCCTTGTGCTAGTTGATAACTTAGTGTCATTAGACTTTTGTTACTCCAGCATACCAGCTGCAGTGTTATGTGCCTGATTTATTACCAGTATGGACTCGTGGTTATAATTGTCTTTAACGACGAAGCTCGACTTTAGTAACTGTTAGAGGATTTTCTTTAGGTTTGTTTGATATATTCTTGATTCTGTGAATAAGCCACTGTCGCGGTTCTGAGTGCTGAAGAGCAAGGAACGCATCAGCTGCGGTCGTGGAAAAGTGCCCAGTGCCATGATATTCCAGTACAGTAGTTATCAGCTGTGCTACTGGCCTTTGAGGCTTTAACTCTTACCTCACCTGCAGTCAACTGAGCTAAAAATAATATTTAATGTAGAATAGTAATTGAAGATGCTTAAGCAAGGGACGTTACGGCTCTGGCACAGTGTATTCTTAAAAACGCCTTTTTTTTGGTAAATCTGGGTCTAACCACTGCTGGCTGTTGAGGAAATATATTTTACACAGCGCTAGGTAAAACTTCAGCCCATAAACTTTTAGACCAACTCTCTTGCCTGGGGTGGTTGTCACGTGCAGGAAAAAGCGGCAAAGTGGAAAAACCCTGATGGCCACATGGATGGATTGACAACTAACGGGGTGCTGGTCATGCATCCAAAAGGAGGGTTCACCGAAGAGTCTAAACCTGGAGTTTGGCGGGAAATCTCAGTCTGCGGTGATGTGTACACGCTCCGGGAAACTAGATCTGCTCAACAAAGGGGGAAACTGGTAAGTTGAAAAGAACTGGTAATTAAAACAAGGGATACTTGTTTTTCTGGCATCGAGTGGAGGCAGTCGGAGGGTGGTTGCAGAGTAATAGCATTGTCCCTGGGTAGTGGGCACTGAAACAATCTAAGTGGGTGTGTATTACAGTAGATTCTGTACTGCTGTTCTGGTTGTGCTTATACACAACACTTAAGTTTTCTGCTAACGTCACCTTTCCAACTCAAATAGCATAGAGTGTAAAAGCTAAAGAAACTTTGCTCTTGAATCTCCATCTCCAAGATGTCCTCTTGGGACCTGGGGACATCTGGAAGTTCCTGCACAGGGAGCTGTTTTTTTGCAGTACTGTCTTAAAAGGAAGAGTCCACTTGGATGCAGAACAAGTTTGGATAACGTGGCTTCTGTCTGATTTACCTGCCGCTAGGAAGATAAGAACCACCCTGCTAAGTGTATTCCTGTAACATCCTATGGAGCAGGATGGGCTTTGCCTTTACCAGCAGCGAAAGGTTTCAACTGCCACCGTGGCACTCTCGTTCCCTTCCCAAGATTTGTGGGGCCTGGGAAGCAGAACTCTATCACAGTTCTTCCTTCTTCACTCTGTCCTCAAACCAAAAAAGCCAAACACCACAACATAGAAGTGGCCCAGGGAAGTACAGAAAAATATTCCCACTCGGACAGGTGAGCTTTCCCAGAGTCCTCTTCATCTCTGGATAGGTTAGAATGTGGTGCTGCCTGCAGACCTGGAAGAGCCTTCATGGTTCACCCCTTCTGATTTAGGAAATGAGAAGATGTTCATGGGATATCTTCACAGGAGCTGAAGATGCCCCTTCTCTTCTGCAACTTTCACCTAGCTGCTAGAGCTCAGAGCCTGAGAAACGGTGCGTGGCAGGGGGAATATCCTTCTCTTCCTGCCAAAGTGGCTTTTGTGCTGCTACCCTGAGTTCCCGTTAGCCTGATGGCGTTAGAGGTATCCCACACACTCGTGCCGCCCCGACTTTCCAGCTTTGCCGTAAGCAGCCAGTTGTCTGCAAAGCTAAAAGGAGTTTGGAAAATGGAGTTTGAATATTTTGTTCTGCTTTCAGTAGACAGCCCGCAGTCCGTAAATTGTTTTGTCACTTTAATGGTGGCAGGCAAACTCCGCCTCGGGGATTGGGACAGATGATGTTGCAATTGCGCCCTTTGTGTGCGGTTAGCAAAGCACCTTTTTTAGCTGTGAAAGAAAGGCAGTGCTAAAACAAATTCCCTTCCCTGCATCCAGAATGACTTGAATTCTCATTTAAATAAAATTACATGGCACACTGGTATTGATGTGATCAGTATTCGTTGATTGGGTTCATAAAACCAACGGCACTGTATAATGAATGGAACACATTGCATACGAGACAGCTGTTTGCTTGGCTGTTTGTGAAGGAATTAACTGAAAAGTGCATCAAATCAAGGCTTCTCATCTCTACTTGAACCCTTGAATTCTTCTGCTGAAGGTATCCTACGCTGGTGACCTTTTGTCTGTGTTGTACCATCTAGGTGTTTTGTGCAAGGATGATCCACAGTTAATCTGAACTGGATTAAAATGTAAATGCTAAACTGGTTGTCGTTCATAGTGTTCTTAGGCAGACATGATGATTTCATGTGACCTACTTAATGTTTTGTTTTCCCTTCGTGGTATTTTCTACCCACTTTCTATGTATAATGCCAGTGTGTAGGTCTGTTTTTAATTTCATAAAGCACCTTTTTAATATATGTTCATCACTACTGAACCGGTAGCAGTAGCACAAGTTGCTTATATGTTTGTGACATTAAAGAATATTTCAGCAAAGTACAACATGCCTTTGGCATAATCCCTTGAAAATACCTTTTAAGTACCTGCTTTTAGAGGAGAGAAACCTTTAGGCGGTGCACATTGGGGCTGTATTTGCATGGAATACCTCATTAAATAAAGAGCCTAACTAGTTGGGGTGGTTAATTGTTCAGAAGTTGAGCCTGTGGTGTCTCCAGTTGCAGAACTTGTCACTTGAGAAATCCAACTGGTGATTCCCTTTGCTGTAAGGACGATGTGTGCGAGTACCTGTGCATGCAGCCAGCATGGCATTTGTCATTTATCCCTAATGTGTCTGTGGAAGAGTTTCACTGTTGATGAGCTACGTGCCGCGGGAGTTCCTGCTTCTGCAAAAGGCGTTACGCTTGCCACGAGCCAAAACAAATGGTGTCTGGGTGATGGGGCAGCTGGTCTGTCCCAGGTAGCAGATTTTAGTCCAAAAAGGATCATCATCTGCATGAGCAGCCTCTGCCAGTGTACGTGGGCAAAGAATTCCAGGGGAGCAATCTGCTAAGACAGCCCTGCAGTCTAACCTGACTTAAACAAGCCAAAGGGGTACAGAGAATCAGTATTAGGAAAAGAAGCGTGCTCGGCGGGGGGAGTATTGGTGTGAAGAGGCTAGTTATTGCTAATGTAGTACCTTTTCCCAAAGTTACAGGCAGGAAAAGAGTGTATAATAATTAGTACTGCCCTAACATGTGGCTTTGAGCAACCTGGTCTCGTGGAAGGTGTCCCTGCCCATGGCAGGGGGGTTGGAACTGGATGATCTTTAAGGTCCCTTCCAACCCAAACCATTCTGTGATTCTGTGAACATGAAATAGTTGCAAATTTAGGACCTCCTGTACAAGCACAGAGTAAGAGACCTATGCTTATAATAATCTTACATACTAGACAAGAGATGGATTTGGACAAACAGGGGGCCGCAAGGAAATGAGACAAGTTTGGTAGCATGTTGGGAGAGCAACGATTTGGTGGGAAGGACGACATGGTTAGGGAACTAATTCTGTGAAAGCTTTCAGGCTTAACTGCTTATCCTTGTGTTCTACCCCTAGGTAGAAAACGAGACCAACGTCCTGCAAGACGGGTCCCTCATTGACCTGTGTGGAGCCACCCTTCTGTGGAGAACGGCAGACGGGCTCTTTCACACCCCGACTCAGAAACACATCGAAGCTCTGCGACAGGAGATCAACGCTGCCAGACCACAGTGCCCTGTCGGGTTAAACACTTTAGCGTTTCCCAGCATCAACCGTAAAGATGTGGTGGAAGAGAAGCAGCCTTGGGCGTACCTCAGCTGCGGTCACGTTCATGGCTATCACAACTGGGGACATCGCAGCGACACGGAAGCCAACGAGCGGGAATGCCCGATGTGCAGAACCGTTGGTCCCTACGTGCCTCTTTGGCTTGGGTGCGAAGCGGGCTTTTATGTGGATGCTGGTCCTCCCACTCACGCTTTCACCCCGTGCGGACACGTGTGCTCCGAGAAGTCTGCGAAATACTGGTCTCAGATCCCCCTGCCTCATGGTACTCACGCGTTTCATGCTGCCTGCCCTTTTTGTGCAACGCAACTGTCTGGGGAACACAACTGCGTCAAGCTAATTTTTCAGGGTCCGATTGACTGATATCACTTTGCAAATGACCACCATAACGTTTTCTTTAACGATTTACTGTGAAGGTTTTGCCACTAACTCTAGATTTTACCTTTTTTTATAATGTTATTATAGGGTGGTAGGGTGGAGATTGGGGAACTGACAAAGGAAATTGTGAGGGACTGTGGTGGAATGGGATACATTGATACCTGGAACTTGACAGATATTGGTGGTGTTGCATGCTCAAAAGCAGCATATTCCTGAAATCATCTTGGTCAAATCGTAGTATATTTATAATCTTTTTATTAGCACCCTGGGTCAGAAAAAAGGTGTCTTAATGATTTTTTTTTTAAGCTAAAATTTTTTTAATGGAAAGGTTTTCTCTTCTTAACTTTGACAAGCCTTTAACACCTGTTTTTCAAATCTAGAAGGAACACACAGAATGTAACTATTTAATTTGCAATATAATTTAACCTGAATAGTTTCTCAAGGAGCTAATACAGAATGTGTGGACAACCACAGGTGAATGTTCAGTAGAGATAATTGGATATGTAGGAGAAAAATTAGCTGCCTAAATTGTAGAGTATAAAAGCTATTAAAATCACTATTATGGTGTAACACAGCTGGCCAAAAAGGCACCAAGGATTACTTGAAACTGAGGAAATCCTGTTTGCATTGATTTCCTTTCAGTGTAATAGATATCCACTGTTCATTACGTATGGTAGATGGCTGAGGGGATTTTTCTTTTTTTGTTTCCTCCACATTTAAGCTTTATCTGGTGAAACTGCTTCACTTTTTAACAAACTTAGTTCTGGGTTTTTTTTACGCTAATGTTCTGTATATGTGTAGTCTGGCCTTTTCATTTCTGCTTAACTTAGCTTGTCCTAACAGCTCCTTGCATGCCCAGGACCTTTGGGTTAATTGAGATGTAGCAAACCTCTAAAACCTGCATTAATGAAGGGGGTGGGGCCACAGCAAGACGGAAGGTTTAGGTAGAACTTACACAGAACATATTTACGTAGACCTGAATTCAGGAGAGCACTTAGTTTGTGTTTAAATATAAGCCCACGGATGGAATTGTTTAGATTCTCAAGTGCTTCGATGGATTGTGGTTATATGCTGTTATGTTTTGAAATAAAAGAAGCAATTTAAAACTAACTTATTTTTTTAAGCTCGCTTACTAGCCAAAATGCTGTAAGGAGAGCATCGTTTCCAGTTCAGCAGAGTGGATTTGTTCGGTTTTTCAACTTGCTGCCATCTGTCACCTTTTTTCTTTTTTTTTGCAGATTGAGATGTGTTTGTATCCTTTTTTTTTTTTCCCTCAAATGTTTGCAAATCAAACGGCATTCAAATGTAATCAAATATATGCACCAGGGTGGTACATCTGAAGTGGATCACTTGAAATTCCTGACTTTTTAAGAGAGCTGATAAATGTTTACTATGGAAATAATTAAATCAGAATTTCATGAGATGTACCCCGCCCACTGTTAGTTTCATTTCATACAGAATGATAACTCATTGATTTGCGAGGGCGTGGTTTTTTTTTCTGTGGCTTTTTGTACTCTTGGTATCTGAGGTATCAATCTATCCAGGTTTAAAAACAAACGAAAAAATAATTTGGGAGAAAATGATGACATCTCTAGAGGAAATTGATCATTCAAGCTCAGTTCTGTTTAATCAACTATAGCTTTTTGCTATATTTGTGCCCTTTGTATAAATATATAATTTATATGATTTTAATATATTCTGTATATATATACTTGAATTGGCCTGTTCATATTTTGGTTGTAAAATTGTTTTATAGTTAACCTTATAAACATTTTACATGTCCCTTGCCAATGGTGATGGGATGTACTTTGTCTGCTGCTCTTTTTAATGTAATTTTGCTGTATAAATGTTCAGCATTTTAATAATTTGAAAATAGCTTTACTTTTCTTTTTATGCTTTTGCTGTTTAAAAAAAAAAAGGGGTGTTTTTCTGCAGCATTTTCTCTAAACATCCCAAACTGTACAGCTTATGTCCCACTCAGCAGTTGGAAATAGGATGAATCTTGTTAACCTAGAACTATCTGCTTCTTCCTAGTGCCTTTTCAATGAGATCCTCTTGTGATTCCATATTCCGAGTCCGTACTCCCACAGGACAACCTTGTGGCTAATCTTCCATCGATGGCAGCCCAAGCAGATTGGGAAGAAACGCCTCTGGCCTTCGGCTCCTTGTTGTGGTTTGTTGTAAACGTGACGGTGCCTCTTCCTTGTCTCCGTTCAGTACAGGTTCCTCAGGTCCCACGTGCAGACGGCAGCGTTACTTCTCCTTCGCATATACCTCATCCGTGAGAGGCAGGCTCGCCGCCTCCTTATCGGACTCTGAAATACCCAACTTTATTTTTTTCACAAGAGAGGCTATGAAAACACGCTTTCAGGAAACGCTTCTCACCGAATAAAGACCGCGAGCCGTGTGTTAGTGCTGCTGGTCGGAGGTCTCGTGTTTCGCAGGTCCGGGGTGGCAACCCTATTGCGGAGCTGAGCTGACCGGGACGCGTGCGCGTCGTCTGCTCCGGAGCGGAAAGGGGTTGCAAGCGCGCGGGCTCCCAGGCATCTCCTACCGAGCTGCTTCCCTTTCTTCCTTCGCAGTGGCAGTTTAATTGCTGCTCCGGGGCTGTGTGTAGCTACACCCGGTGCAAAGGGAATGTACAGCCTTGGCCGAGCCCGCACTGGAAGGGCCAGCACACCTCGCGTGAAGACTGCTGAATGGTTTGTATCGGAGGGAAGCGTCCGTGTTTTAAAAGAGTGTGTTTTGAGTAACATTTTTCTTTCACTGTCGGCAGTTCTGTATAACGCAAGAAACTGCATGAAGGAAAACTCCCCTCTTACCTGGGAAACTAACTTCCACAGGTCCTTTGCATGAATCCAGGTCCTTTGCCATTAACCAGTGTCAAATCTAGGGTGTTTCACGCAGAGCTGGATTTACTGGGAAGGCGGAAGAGTTTGTAGCATTTTTCTCAAACGCCGCTGCCGCATACGCTGCTCTCATCAAATGATGGACCGTTTGGCTGTTTAGCCCTTTCCTCCTTCCCTCCTCTCAGACCCACGCCTTCCCTGGCCGGGTAACTCAACAGGAGAAAGTAGTTTCTGGAGAAATAAGACCGGTTTGGTTTGGAGCGAGTAAACTTGAGAACTCCAACTCAGTTTTCAAAGCTTATTTCATGATTTCAGTGTTAGGGATCTCTACTGCATACCATTTCCAATGCTGGCAATGTATTCTGTAAGGAGTTTGGGGTTTTTTTCCACCTGTTGCTGTTGACTGTATTAGAATGCTTCAAAACCAGCTTTGACTGCATAACTTACAGCTGAAAGTATTTTTCTAGACTGATCTTAAGTCTGTCGTACCCATGCACGCTGGAGCTCTGCAACTTTCCTTCTTCCTGGCAGCTTCTTGAGAGCGTGCTGAAGGCTTAAGTAGATGCCCGAGTGGCGAGCGCTGCTCGTCTTTCGAATCGTGGTCCAAGTCGTGGAAAAGAGCATGATACTGTGTTTTAATCACGATTTTTTTCAAGTGTGGTCACTTTGTGCCTCGTTTTACAGTAGTAGTACTGTGCTGGCACAGTAATCGAAGGAGGATTTTTGTTTTCTTTGGGAGGGTGGGAACAGGGCTCAGAAGAGACAAAAAGCCGTTGTTGGGCTGTTTCCAGAAGGGACAAATCCACCAGGGACGGATCAGAAACATGATTGTAGCTGTTCCCGCTTTCCACCCTGGGTCATGCTCTAAAAAGGATTCTCCTTAGTGCATTAGGAAGCTCTGGGATGAAATGGAAAGGCTCTGATCTTCCCAAGAAAACACTTTTTGGCAGTTTTTGGCAGTCTTTTAATGGCAGTTCCTCGAATTTTTGCAGGCTCTGCTTCCGAAGCCTGACCAGGGAACAGGGCTGTCGAGTGTATCGCAGTGAGAAACCGTAGTAGCCTCTGAATACTGATTTTTTTTTTTTTTTTTCAATCAGTAGGTCATGCCACCCAGAATGAGCGGTGGCTTTTAACTGTGGTAGCTCCCTTCAGGGCTCTTGCGGTAGGTGATCTCTTTCCTCACCAGTCTTTCTGGAAGTGGAAGCTTCTCCAAGACTGTCACATTTCTGTTCATCCACCTCATGGTCTTGACACTTTTCCAGGGTCAGAGAATGGTTGGCAGTGATCTGGTTGTCATGAGAACTGCTGGAGGCACAAAAATACATTTTTAGTGTGGCAGGAAAACTGACCTGGCTTGATAACTCCTCTTGCTTCAAGTTGAGCTGCAAATACGCTTCCAAAACGAGCTGTGCTTGTCTGTTCCTTGTAAAGCAACGCTCTGTCACGGGTGGGTAAGTCTTGTTTCCTCTGACTGTTGTGCTACGGTGGACGTGGAGTGGAATCGACAGGTAGAGCTGTTGATCGGAACAGGTAGGAAGCAGGAGCCTGTTAAGCTGAATAGATATGGACAGTCCAGCTATTCCGCAGTATTCTGGGCAAGGATTCCTCCTCCTCTTTGTTTGCTCAGTTTTCTTTGCTCAGTTTTCAGCCTCTTCTGAGTTGTTGGCCCCCCTTGGTTTTTCTATGTATCCATGTAGTTGCAGGTAAACAAGTAAATACAGCTTGGAAAGAAAGCAAACAAGGAAGAGAATTAAAGAGATACCTTCAGGCTTGCTTATCTCTTCAAGGAAAATGTAAATTGGAGTTGGACTTTCCTCATTCCGATTATTGTAAGCACTCTTAACAAGTCTTCACTTGGTGTTGTCAAATAAAAGGAAAAACTTAGAAGGTGAGGCTGAAGTAGGTACCTCAAGGGGCTGACAGAGCTGGGGGGGACTTTTTACAAGGGCAGGGAGTGACAGGACAAGGGGTAGTGGGTTTAAACTGGAAGAGGGAGATTGAGATTGGACATCAGGAAGAAATTCTTCCCGGAGAGGGTGGGGAGCACTGGGACAGGCTGCCCAGAGAAGCTGTGGATGTCCCATCCCTGGAAGTGTCCGAGGCCAGGCTGGATGAGGCTTGGAGCAACCTGGTCTAGTGGAAGGTGTCCCTGCCCATGGCAGGGGGGTTGGAACTAGATGATCTTTAAGGTCCCTTCCAACCCAAACCATTCCATGATTCTGTGATTGGGGGTGGCTGGGGAGGGGTTAGTTTCTAGGATGAAAAGCTGCAGTAGTACTGCAGGCCCTGGGCGAACCATGTCCCACCGATGGCAGCAGGCACTTTGGTCTTGCAGGTGGTCAACCTCGGCAGGGAGGAAATATCTGGCTTTGCTTTCTGTCTTGATCAGAGTTTTCATTTATTGGTAGTGGAACTAAAATGTAAGTTGCTGGAACACCCAAACTACAGCTGGAACTGGTGGCTGTGAAGGTTCCCTTGTAACGGGGCATATTTATATTTTCCTGGTGGGTGAGTTACCTGAAGTCCCTTCTCTTTGTGTCATGGTGATGAGGGATGGGTCTTGCTTTCCTCTTGGATCAAATACATGATGGAGAGCCCTTGGAAGGCTCCTTGTGACACAGCTGTACGACGTCTTGTTCACACAGCGAGCCCTGTGTGATGGAGGAGTGATGTTTATCTTAAACAGTGTTAGCAGCTGTTAAACTTCTGGGTATATTTGTAAAATTAGTCTTTTTATACACCACGTGAAATGGACTGAAATAATTTCTTTGCTGTTGTACCTGTGGAAGTACAAGCCATTTTACAGAAGAAAAAAACCTTCCAAAAAGAAAAAAGAATTAAAATATTATCTCAGTATTGTCACTGACTCCTTCAGGTTTTTTTTTCCCCTGCCGCTTGGTTGTCAGGGTTTAACTTCGACTTGCAAAACCGTATAAATAACTTCAAAAATAAACAGTTTCACTTACTCGCTTTCCCCCCCTTCTGCTCCTCAGCAAATAGAACGAAGCCTTTGATTGAGGATTCTTA